GAGGATGTTGCTTGAAGGTTAATGTGCGTTCACTTGAGATGGTTATAAATCCTGTTTCTTGAAAATATGCCTGGGTTTTGAAACACAGAAGCTTTCTTATACCAAGTCACCTAAAAGAAATATCTAGACCATAATTTGATGCCAAAAGATCACTAGATTAATTGTTTTAAGGGCCAACAATTTTGCAAGGTTTTATATGCATTGCTTCTGAGCTGCAGCCCAAGCTGTAATCTCTTAATTGTTTTCTAGGCTAGTTACTTTCTATTTCTTGAATATTCAAACCTGTCACATCTAGTTCTAATTCTAATTCTAATTCTACCTGGCTGGTTTTGTCAACTTTATTCATTTAAACGCCAAGACTGAGTTCTGTGCAAACTTACATTTTATTATTTGGTTGAATTAAATTATTTAGTTGTCTTGACAATGTATTTAATCTTACTTATTTCATGGATAATGTTGATTTACCCTTATTGCTCAAAGATTACATTGCTAAATAGTCTTGGTGGAATGATTTTTAAAAGATTGTTAGAGCTGTTGTAACACGTTTGCTTTGTGTCTTATTTTTTTAAGGTAAAGAACAACATACAAATGATGTCACAGCTCAAATGGTGTTGGTATGTTGCTGGCGAAGCATGAAGGAGGTTTCATTACTTCTAGGGAAGTTATGTCAGCTTCTACCTGAACAGATTCTTCCTAGTTGTTCAGATGCACTGATAACAGTGGATCAGGTAGGGTATCCTAAGATGTTACGATTTGTTCATCCAGAGAATTTCAGTGTTTACTGGATGAATTATTGGAATAATTTATCCTGTCACAGTTCTATAGTTCCCTGTCTGGCATGTTCCAATAATAGCAATATCTTGATGAAAAATAGATAGGAAGAATTGTTTGGGGAAAATAGTAACAGCAGTGTGCTTATTTTAAAATGGAGATCTTTTTAATTTTTTCTTTTCTCTTAATTTGACGTTCTTAATTAGTTCAAAGAACTTATTTAAGCAATGTTCTAGGGCAGCTCACGAATACTTACATTAAGAGAAATAGTGTTGAAGTAAGAATATTATAGCAGTGCAAATTCTGACATTCTAATTCAGTTTATTTTACTTTATTACCAATACGGAATTCTCTAAGAAGAGGTTTTTTTTTTTTAAACTAACAACCCATGTCCCATTGGGTCATCATTTTTTTTCTTAACAGAGAATGACCTTGATAGGCAAAAAGGCAGTGAGAGCAGAAGCAATTTCCAGTTTCCTGTCTGCTCCTCCATTGAGTTTCCTAGTAGGAAGCGAGCTGGGGACCTTTGAAACCCTGCCTCTTGCCTGCCTGCTGCATAAGTTGGTGGAGTGTGTGGAGGGGGTGATGCGGACCAGGAAGGATGCATAGACACTTACCCCACTGGTAAGTGTCTGCTGCTGAATTGGAGAGGAACAGAGAGATTGCAAGACTGGTTTTGGAAACTCAGATAACATTTAAAATGAAGATCACATGTCTGCATCAGCAGCATAGCAGCAATCAGTAGCACTGAAGCAGCCACAAATGTAGAAGTCATGGGTTCCAGATTTTGGACACATTCTGTAAGTTAGACCATTTGAGGTACCTTGGTTCAAAAAATTTTGCACTATGATGTACCATTTCACCCAGTTAAAAGTTATGATGAGTGTTTTAATAGAATATAGATGCTTTCCTCTGTGTTCCAGCCATATGGGCTTAGGAATAACTTAGGATACTGCTTATATGTATATATTAAAGTTCATTTACTTACTTCTGCATTTATGTTTTCCATTTGGCAAGCAGAAAGGTGAGATTTGATGAAATTACCATTTCAAGTAAAGCTTTTATGGTCTGTAATTTTGGATACAAACACATTGATTGATTGAGGATATCATATTCTCTGTAGGCTAGATGACAGAATTATGCTCACTCAGACCTGTTTTTAAACCTCTCCCCTCCCAATTTTTTAAGACCATTAAGGCAAGCACACCATCTGGGACTGTTCAAGAGAATGGACTGCAGTGTTTACAAGAAATTGGCTTACCACAAGTATTTCATTTGGAAATATTTTGGATTTATTAGATTTCTGTTTTTAATTGATGACCCTTTCCCTTTCCCATATGGTTTTAACCAAGTCAGTTTCCAGCCTTAGAGACTGATATACGTGATATAGATTTTTTTTCCTTTTTTTGTAGGGGAAGTTTATGATGAGAGTTCAAAAATAAAACTGTAGTTCTTCTAAATGATGATACCATTTTAGACTGAAGAAGTATTGATGTCGTGCTGAATATAGAATTTTGGAAATAATTCTAACATGTTTATTTACACATTGTCTCAAACAGATGTTTTCAGCTGTCTCACAGCTGTGTGCGCAGTCTTGCAACATTTTGGAAGTGCAGAGAAATGACCATCAATATACCATTAAGCTCCTTTTCTGTTCCAAGTCAAACAGGAATTGGTTTTAAAGAGTTACATTCACCTTTTAAAGCCAATGCCATGCATTTTGCCTGAAAACGTAGCCATAAATATTGCTGTTTGGTCAACAGCATTTGTTTTTGGAAATCTCTTACATTTCTTAACACTTTATCATGCTATACCTTGATTACTCCTTGAAGATAATAAATCTGAATAATTATAAATAAAACAATCCTAATAATGTTGAATATTTTTATCCATTCAGTTATATGCATTGAATGTATGGTTGCATAGATCTTATTTAACTGTGTTCCCGAGTTCATTTCACAAGACAACTGCATATGCAAATTTTTCTGGTATAGAAACGCATAGCATAGCTCCTTTGCATGAGCAATCAGAAAACAGAGAATATTAAAATTTGGTAATTTGAATGTTCAAATATTTGAAATTCTATATAAGGTTACAGTGTTTGTATATATAGTAATGATTCATGAAATACATTTAGTCTCTTGTGAACTTTTCAAAGTGCATATTAATCCCCTGGACAGCTTCTTCCCAACTCTTAACATCTTGCTTCCATGTATACCACATTATATTTTGCTTTCTCTCCAGCACCATAGTATGTGATCTGTAGAGAAGCTTTATATTTTGGAATTGTGGTTATGTGACTATGGAGGTAGAAATGCAATCATCTTAAATTTACTTGCTGTAAATATTGTTTAGAGCTCCTTTGTTGTAGTGATGCCTTAACCACCATCAATTAGCACTGGGCTAGAATTCAGGAGATCGTGATTGTTTTTTACAGTGTTCTCTAAAGGGAACCAACCTGTTAATAGAGTGATAATCAAAGTAATATTCTGAAATAAATCTTGTTTATTTTATTTATTTATTTATTTATTTATTTATTTATTTATTTATTTATTTATTTATTTATTTATTTATTTATTAAATTTATATACCGCCCTATCTCCCTTACGGGACTCAGGGCGGTGAACAGGCGATACTAAAAACCACAATAATAAATAAATAGTTTCTGTTCTAAAATCAAATTAAATAATGGGCCTGTTCTAAAAACACCCCATACAAAAACCCCCACTAAAACATAATCAAACTACGCCAGGCCG